CTAATTTTTTTATTTATTGTAGAGATGAGGTCTCACCAAGTTGCCCAGGAGGGTCTCGAACCCGCGGGCTCAGGCAATCCACTCACCTCAGCCTCCCAAGATGCGGGATTACAGCCTGAGCCACCAAACCCAGCTTGCTTAATCTTAACTTTTAATATGTGTTAAATGCTCAGATTAAAGACATACTAGAAACCATAGATATATAATTTTTTTTTGAATCAAAGTCTCACTCTGTCACTCAGGCTGAAGTGCAGTGGCACGATCACAGTCACCGTAGCCTCAATCTATTGGACTCATGCGATTCTTCTGCCTCAGTCTTCCAAGTAACTGAAACCATAGGCATGTGCCACTGTGCCCGACTTATTTTTTTGATTTATTGTAGAGACAAGATCTCACCATATTGCCCAGGCTAGTCTTGAATCCATGGGCTCAGATAATCCTCTCGCCTCAGCCTCCCAAAGTGCTGGGATTACAGGTATGAGCCACCATGCCCAGCTAATATATATTTTTAAATATCAACATGATAGCAACCTGGGATATTTGTCAGGTAAGTCAATAACAGAAGTCTTATTCTGCAGGCTAATTTGCATTTTTCAATATTAGACTTTAACACATTTAACTTATTTTTACTATTTGTTCCTTAATCTTTATTAAATTTTTCTTCCTTAAAAAAGAACTCAAAGTTTGCACAAAATTAATTAATTTTTGAGACTTCTTTACTATTTTGCCTACTATTATATATAAGCATTATCTTACTTATTATGAATATTCTTTAAAGATACAGAAAACGTCTAAGGAATTGATTACTAGTACTTTACTATATGATATAAAATATTTAAAAGAAACTGAGAAAAACTCCAAATATAAGGACAATGATATATGTCCAATATTCTACAATGCACAGGACAGCCCTCCCACAACAAAGAATCATCTGGTCCAAATATTAATAGTGCTGAAGTTGAGAAACCCCAGCATAAAATAGGTCAAATATCCCATTAATTTGGAAAACCAAATGTCTAAAGTAACATCACACTACAAATCTAATAACTCAGTTACAAAAAGAAAACTTAAAATAAAGATAGTCTACCTTATCAGACCGTAGATTTAGCATCTCAGGCTTGGGGAAATCTTGCTCTATGTTCTCAGCAATATTCTGTATCGTTAAAAGCTGTTCATCAATTTTTTGAAGCTTAGCGGTGAGATGCTCTAGTCGGCGAGCTGCAGGGCTTGGTGCAGGATAAGCTGCAGAGACATCCTGCAGCAGTTTCCACAATGGAAAATCTGCTGAGTCTGGCTCTGTGCTCTGTTCTTTGAATTGGAAGTCTGGTTTAGACAGATCTAAATATTAATTAAAAGTAAAATCACAATTTATTATAATTAAGGTCCAAGAAGTATATACTGATGATGTCATTTTTTGATGATTTCATTTTAAGCCAGCATAACATTAAATTCCCAATCAGTTTTAATTTAATATACTTAAAAATTCCTTTTCAGTTTCCTGATTTCTGAAATTTGCTTTTGTAATGAGAAAAAAGGATACATAACAATGTTACTACCACAAAACTCCACATACAACACAGGTTGACTATTACTTGTATCCTCTGCTACAAATATATATGTCATCAACAAGCAATTTTAATATTTGTATGACTTTCTGAAACTCTACTCAAAAACCAAAAGCATGACACACACAGTAAAAGCAAGACCTGATGTTCTAACTTGAGATGGAATCTCAGGAAAATGTTAAAACTCCCAAGACCATGATCAAAGCCAATGACTTCCCCTACTCTTTTTTTTTTTTTTTTTTTGAGTTGGAGTCTCACTCTGTCGCCCAGACTGGAGTGCAGTGGCCGCTCCCGGCCACCGCAGCCTCGGCCTGCTAGGCTCCAGCGATCCTTCCGCCTCAGCCTTCCAAGTAGCCGGAATTACAGGCATGCGCTACCATGCACGGTTGATTTTTTGATTTATTGTAGAGATGAGGTCTCACTGCCCAGGCAGGTCTCAAACCCGCCGGCTCAGGCAACCCACTCACCTCAGCCTCCCAAAGGCGTGGGATTACAGGCTGAGCCACTGAGCCCGGTGACTTCCCCTACTCTTAAACTCAGTTGATTCTTGTCCCAAATTCGTGACATCTTTTTAAATTATGTTCTTCTGGTGCCTGGGCCTCCTCCTTCCTGTTCTGCTCATCCGTCTTAGTCTTCTCTTCTGTCACCCACTCCTTTTACCCATCAGCACTTCCTGGGCTGCCAGCCTCCGCTCACTTCTCTACTCATGCTTCCCACTCTCTCTGAATGACATTACGGATGTACACATGACTCCCAAATCTATAAGGCACTCTTTCTGAGCTCCAGCTCCTTATGTCTTGGGCATCCCAGTTAAGCTGTCCTATAAACATATCAAACTGAACTCATCACTTCTGTCCCTCTAATTTGCTCCCTCCTCCTAGTCTCTCAGCTCAGCAAATAGCACTACCATTCAGTTTTCCAAGCACAAAGCCCGAGAGTCACTCAAGGTTCCCTCTTTCCCTTCATATCCAAATTGATAACTGTTGATAATTCTACCTGCTAAACACCTCCATTCCTAATGCCACTGCTGGGCTGAAGCTTTCATAACAAATAGACCCCAAACAGTATCCCTATCCTTAATTTATCTCCCTTCTATCTAGTCCATCTTCCATACAGGCCTGAGAGATCTTTTTAAAACACAAAGTTGATATTGTTTCTTTTCTACCTTAAACCCTTCAGTGTGTCTTCAATATCTTCATCTTAAAGGTTCAAATGCCTCAGTATGACAGACAATGACACACATAATCAATCATTCCTCTATCTGCATATCCAGCTTCATCTCTTTAAACAAGTAAACACAGTCCCTTTTACTCCAAGCATACTGAACTTTAATTTTCTCAACCAAGCAGGCTCTACCCAACTTCTGAGTCATTGCACAATCTATTCTCTCAGTCTAAATGTTCTTTCTCTCAATTAAATCCTGTTTTCCTTGAAGATTCCAATTAGGTGTCTCTAAATCACCCCAATCCTCCTCCAAGGTGGATTAGATGCTGTATTACCCAAGAATCTCATTCATACATCCACTGCAGAACTTACCAAGCTGTATCATAATTATCTCTTTTTCTTTCCCACTATAGACATGCCTGCAAGCTGAGGGTCTGGTAGCCCTTCCTTCTTTAGCCCTTGAACTTAATGTTTACTGAATGAAGAATCAGTCAAATGAAGATTATGATACCTACCCTATCTAACTCATAGAAGTTTTGTGAAGACCAAATTATGTGACAAAGTACTCTAAAAATGTGAGGTGCTAAAAAAAATATAAATACAGTTTGTTACATATCAGTCCTAGCCTATGGTGAATTTTCCCATGGGAAGACAATGGTAAATGTCGGTACTGAAAATGGCAGTTATATAGTTTTTCCCTACCTGTTTTGGTCCTACTGTTTTGTTTTGTTTTGAGTTGGAGTCTCACTTTGTTGCCCAGGCTGGAGCTCAGCTGCACGATCATGCCTACCACAACCTTTACCTGCTGGGCTCAGGTGATCCTTCTGTGTCAGTCTTCCAAGTAGCTGAAATTACAGTTGCAGGCCACCATGCCTAGCTAATTTTTTGATTTATTGTAGAGACAAGGTCTCGCCAAGTTGCCCAGGCTGGTCTCAAACCCCTAGGCTCAGGCAATCCTCTCGTCTCTACCTCCCAAACTGCTGGATTATAGGCATCAGCCATCACATCTGGCAGTTTTCACTCTGTGAGTGTGTATGTGCGTGTCTCACTCTCCTAGGCTGGGGTGCAGTGGTTCAGTCATGGTTCACTCTAGCCTCAACCTTCTGGGCTCAGGTGATCCTCCCACCTCAGTCTCCCAAGTAACTGGGACTACAGACAAATGCAACCATTTCTAGCTAATTTTTTTTAAATTTTATAGAGAGACAAGGTGTCACTATGTTCCTAGACTGGTCTCGAACTCCTGCGTTCAAGTGATACATCCACTTCGACTTCCAAAGTACTGGAATTACAGAGGTTGGGCAAGGTGGCTCACGCCTGTAATCCCAGCACTTTGAGAGGCCAAGATGGGAGGATTGCTTGAGGCCAGGATTTCGAGACCAAAGTATTGGGATTACAGGTTTGTGCCACCATGCCTGGCCTTGACCATACCATTTGACTCTTTACCATCTATCTATCCTGTTTCTCAGCAGCCGGGAGCCCCCCTTAATCACTCTCAGGAAAGAATTTGGTACACAGAAATGTCAGTAGAAAATATAGAAAAAGAGATGAATGTGCTCAAAATCCAGAATGACCTCAACACACAATGAAACTAGCTTCCCTTTCACTGGAGAATCTACTCCACTTCCACAAAGAGAGAAAAACACCTGCCCAGGAGGATTCAATACTGAGTTCCACTGACCCTGAAATGCTCTTACTAAGTCCAGCAAAATTCTACTTGCTATTACTGATGCTATTCCTAATAGAAAATGGTTTCTAAAATAAGAAGCTACTGTCATTCAAAATAGTGAGCAGATCTCACCAAAAGAGGAATGTTTCATTTGTTTTGTCTTTTGTTTTCATACCTGGCGACCCTGTGCCCTTCCTTCTCCCCAACTTTTCCTATAATGCAAAACCCACTCAGCTCAATGGGTGACTATATCCTGGAGTTTCTAAAGTATTATGTAAATATCATGACAGAATTTAATTCCAAAATATAAAACATTTTCTTTTAAATTGGCATTTTATAGTTCTTCTCTGCTATAATAAGATAGAAGAGTCCACTAACATATATATCTTTGCGATCAGGCAGTATCCCCAAGGAGGATCCTCCAAAAGGTTGATTTTAGACCCGATCTCATTAATAAAGGAAATTAACCTGTCACGTATGGTCATTTGAAATGCTGACCTAAGATACTCAGGGGTCATATGGAGATGGGCCTGCTTCCAGTCAACCAGAACTTCAAAATTGATTGCCTGAAAATAAAGGAAAACTAACAGCACACCTCAGCAGCCACAGGCACTTGGGCAGGCATTCCTCATGAAAATCCTATGAGGCTGAGTCCCATAGAGACACAAATGAGGATCAGATAAAGTTAATTTATCTGCAAAAAGTCTCCAAACCATCAGGTGAAGGAGCTGGGATTAAAACCCAGGTCCGTTCCACCTGAACCTAAAAGCTAAGTTCTTTTCACTTTTCCATGCACTTCCCCAGCCTGAAATACTGCTAGCTTCAAAATACTGATAGTTGTTTGTATATGCAGCTGTAATACACATGCCCTAGCCCATCCTAAGGTAAAGTTTCCCTGCCACTCAGCCCTTTCTTGTTCCTCATATCTCCTGAATGCCCACTGTCGATACATAATAATCAAGCAGAGCTAGACTCTGCACCCAAACATATCACAACCACAAGGCTGGCTGGGTCCACACCCCACAAAAGCTGTGGAAACAAGAAGAAACATTAGCTCTCTGTTGCAGGAAGAAGGCTGCATATTAGATTAATCTAATCATTCACAGGATATAATAATTTCAGGTTGTGGAGAGTCTTCTAAATCTTGCATAAAGTTACTGTGATGTGATCTGATTTATGACTATAAAACTGAGTATTTTATTGCTAAAATACTGTTGACTACCATGCCTGTGTATTTTCTATGTGCTGTTTTAAATTATCCTACCTTTTAAAATATTAGTATTCCTTTTCAGCATCAAAACACTCATGAACTCCTACAGGATATTTATTTTTAGTGTTATTGAAAAAACATGTGCTTAGGAATAATCTGCAGTCTTCTTGCAAAATATCCATGAGTGCCAGCTTTGGAACCATGGCTTTATCTCATTTACCTACCTGCCCCAACTATTCTTAGGAAGAGACAAGTCATTTGCTGGTTTCTTTAGCAATTACCAAGTTTCAGTGATTGATTCTAACATAACATCAGGGGAGGGTCATGCTATAAATCTTGTCAGTTTACCTCTGTCCTGTTGCATGTCTGCTGAGGTGACACCAGCTTGGTCCACTTCTGTAATGTCTGCTTTCCAACTTTTTCCATCCAGACAAGTTGGAGTCACTTTTGCAGGTGTAGAAAATAAATCCATAGCGGAATTGGCAGAGTCTATCAAGAATACGAAATGCATACAAAGACTGATTCTATACTTCTAAACAAGGTAATCAGAAGATTAATAGAACATTTCTAAATGTGAATGTAAACATTCAAAGTACAGGGGTTTTGCAAGAGGAGAGCTAAGAGAAGTGAGTAGGCTAACAACAATGCACTAGAGAATTCTTTTTTTTCTTGTTTTGAGTAGGAATCTCACTCTGTCGCCCAGGCTGGAGTGCAGTGGCATGATCACAGCCACCACAGCCTTGACCTCCTGGGCTCAGGTGATTCTTCCATCTCAGCCTTCCAAGTAGCTGAAACCACAGGTGCTTGCCACCATGCCTGACTAAATTTTTTTTTTGATTTATTGTAGAGACAAGGTCTCCCCAAGTTGTCCAGGCTGGTATTGAACCCCCAGACTCAGGCAATGCTCTCGCCTCTGCCTCCCAAAGTGCTGAGATTACAGGTATGACCACTGCACCCAGCTAATAAAGAATTTTTTAAAATATATTTATTTAAAAAGTAGAAAAATTTGTTACCTTGACTGTTAAAATTGTATGGGGGAATAGTGTTAGTAACTGAAGCTGCCATATAATGTAACTCTGCAGATGATGGAACTTCTGGATGATTATCTTGCTGTTTGATGATATCATCATTTGAAGGCTCTTCTCTGATAGGTAATTCCTGTAGAAGATCATCAGCTTCAATGTCAATCACATCTATGTAACTGTGTCCAACCTGAGCCAAAACACATAAAATCAAAAGCGTTACATTCTTTTTTTTTTTGAGTTGAAGACTCATTCTGTCGCCCAGACTGGAGTGCAGTGGCCGCTCCCGGCCACTGCAGCCTCGACCTGCTGGGCTCCGGTGATCCTTCCGCCTCAGCCTTCCGAGTAGCTGGAACTACAGGCAAACGCTACCACACCTGGCTAATTTTGATTTATTGTAGAGATGAGGTCTCATCAAGTTGCCCAGGCAGGTCTCGAACCCGCGGGCTCAGGCAATCCACTCACCTCGGCCTCCCAAAGTGCTGGGATTACAGGCTGAGCCACTGAGCCCGGCCATGTTACATTCTTTATAATCTATATAGTCACTTTGCTAAAAAAAAAAAAAAAAAAGGTTTAATTTTTACTTGCATTAATAACAAGGCCAGAAGTACTTGTAAATGGCTAAATTACGGAGACCTGTAGGAAGTATGCATTATTAGTCTTAGTCTAAAATTTTGGGGGCATAATTATTAATTCTTTGACCATTCCTACAAAGCTACATAGATGAGATTTTTAGCTTATTTCACTTATACAGTTGAATAATGTCTGGATAACCATAACAAATTTTAGGACATAGGTATTATTAAAGTTTCTGAATAAAACACAAACCAAATTTGTTACCATATGAGGTGCTGAAGGTGACAGTGGTTTTTCTGATATTTCAGTGGAAAGTTTGAGATTTAGATACATTTCTGGAACCAACAGCTGAGGAACATTCAATGGTTCATGTTCTGAAAATTAAGAAAGGAAAAATCGGCAACATAAAGTATGAAAATAACTCTAAATCAGTGGTTTTGAACAAACAAGTTAGCAACAAATAGTATAAAATTTCTTGAAAATCTAAGTAGAAGTGTCATGGGCATAAATAAATTAAAGCAAATTTTATCTATTCTAAGGGTAATTACCTAGAGTAATTCATAATTGAATGCAAGCTTACTACTGCTTTTCTGGTTTAAATGATTTGTAAGAACAATAAAGTATCTAAATTATGTCAAGAGAATGTTATAATTTCCTATTTCCATTATAGGTATATTAAATCACATTCACCTGTTTTATTTAGGGATGCTTCAATAAAGTCATATTTTAAAAATTACTCCATAATTAATTTTTTTTTTTACTTTCAACAGTTTCTTGTTATTTATTTTTTTGTTATTTATTTTTATTTACAACTTTATTAAGATGTAATCATACTCTTTAAAAGGGTACCATTCAGCTAGGTGTGGTGGCTCATGCCTGTACTCCCAGCACTTTGGAAAGCCGAGGTGAGAGGACTGACTGCCTGAGCCTAGGGGTTCAAGACCAGCCTGGGCAAAACATGGCAAGACCTCATCTCTACAATAAATAAATAAATAATTAGCCAGGCGTGGTGGTGCATGCCTGTAGTCCCAGCTACTTGGAAGGTTGAGGTGGAAGGATCACCTGAGCCCAGTAGGTTGAGGCTGTGGAAGCTGTGAGCGTGCCACTATGCACCAGCCTGGGTGACAGACTCCAACTCCCAAAAAAAAAGGGGGTACCATTCAATAGTTTCTAGCATATTCACAAAGTCCATAGCTAAATTTTGCCTCTTAAAAATGTTTTTTTTTGTTTTTTTTGTTTTTGTTTTTTTTGAGTTGGAGTTTCACTCTGTTGCCCAGATTGGAGTGCAGTGGCTGCTCCCAGCCACCGCAGCCTCGACCTGCTGGGCTCCGGCGATCCTTCCGCCTCAGCCTTCCAAGTATCTGGAACTAAGGCGCGTGCTACCACGCCCAGCCAATTTTTCTGATGTATTGTAGAATGAGATCTCGCCAAGTTGCCCAGGTAGGTCTCAAACCCGTGGGCTCAGGCCTTAAAATGTTTTAAAATCTAAATTTCACAATAATCATTTGCTTCTTACTCAACAGTAAAATAAATAGGCTTGTCATAGTAGGTTAGCAGACAGTTTAATTATGTACCTTTTGTCCTAGAACTCTATTCTTATTTTCTAGCATTTTATTTTTAATAAATCATTATTTTCAAATTTCATATGCAAAATACAACTTATTGTCATATTAAATACTGGACACTTGCTACCAAGACTTGTATTTAAGTCATAGGTTAACGAGAAAACTAGAAAAGGGGGAAATGAAAATACTTAAATTAACAGTCTCTCTTTTAAGTTAATTGGTTTAACGGCTTTTTTTATGGGGGAGAGTGACTCTAGCTTTGGCATCCTGCAGACATAATCTTTAGTGAGTCAAACTATTCTCAGAAGAAAAAAGAAATCATACCTGATGTGCAAGAAACAATTTGCTGATTTTTACCACATTCAGAAACAACTTCTTGAGAAGTAGCTTCCTTGTCTTGTAGTACATTAGGAAATTTTGAGTCAAAGAGAAAACAGAAAAAAAATTATAAACACAAGAAAAAATTAAATATACAAATGCAGATAATTAGATATTATGCATAAAAGGTGGTAGGTAGAAAAATAGATTGACAGTTTAATGATTTACTTTGTAAATAATATAATTTGAGATTTTATTATTTATATCCTAGGTTTTCTTCTTTTTTAGACAAATAGCAGACTCAGCCTACCAACTTTAGAAGACTACCCAACAGCAAAGGCAAACACCTCCAAGGCTTTCTCAAAGACATGGTGAGATAATGAACATTTAAGAATGTTTCTTAGCCGGGCTCGGTGGCTCAGCCTATAATCCCGCGCTTTGGGAAGCTGAGGTGAGTGGATTGCCTGAGTGGGTTCGAGACCTGCCTGGGCAACTTGCTGAGACTTCATCTCTACAATAAATTAAAAAATTAGCCGGGCATGGTAGTGTGCACCTGTAGTTCTAGCTACTTGGAAGGCTGAGGTGGAAGGATCGCCTGAGCCCAGCAGGTAGAGGCTGCAGTGGCCGGGAGCGGTCACTGCATTCAAGTCTGGGCGACAGAGTGAGACTCCAACTCAAAAAAAAAAAAAGACTGTTTCTTAAAAAAAAAGAATGTTTCTTAATTGTACATTATTTATATCAAAAACATTTTACACATTCTGAAGATAAAAATATAGCGTTAAAAAAAAAAGATAAGCCCAGACGTGGTGGCTCAAGCCTATTATAATCCCAGCACTTTGGGAGGCTGAGGTGAGAGGACTGCCTGAGCCCACATGTTCGAGACCAGCCTGGGCAACTTGGCGAGACCTCATCTCTACAATAAAAATTCCAAAAATTAGCTAGGCATGGTGGTGCACGCCTGTAGTTCCAGCTACTTGGAAGGTTGAGGCAGAAGGATAACCGAGCCCGGCAGATTGAGGCTATGGTGGCCGTGAATGTGCCACTGTACTCCAGCCTGGGTGACAGAGTGAGATTCCAACTAAAAAAAAAAAAAACAACAAAAGACACATGCTCAACTTCATTCAGAAAGAAGTAAATTAAAAGAAAAAATTTTTTTTAACCTAACAGATTAGCAAAGTTAGAAAAGTCAGCTAAATCATCATACTGGGCGAAAAAAGTTTCAATGCAAGAAGACACTCACTAAAGCATTCAATAATAAGGAACTGGTTAAATATTTATGGCACAGCTGAAAGAATAAATATTCTTACAAAGTACTTTTTGATAACATAGGAATATGTTTGCCATAATAGAAATCAAAGTGAAATGAACAGGATACAAAATACAGGTATTCCTTGTTGCCCAAAACTAATCCATTCCTCCAAATGTGCTGGATAGAAAACTTTCAGATTCCAGGAGATTTTATTTCATTCTTTCAAATGGGGAAATAAAAATGTCTTAGCCCATCAAAGTTTCCCCAACATCATTAAACAACTTATACACCTAAATAATCCACCAAATATTACTACATAATATAAAGCATTTTAAGCATCTTTTTTTTTTTTGAGTTGGAGTCTCACTCTGCTGCCCAGGCCGGAGTGCAGTGGCACATTCACGGCTATCCCGGCGTCGACTTGCTGGGCTCCAGAGATCCTTCCACCTCAGCCGTCCAAGTAGCCAGAATTATAGGTGTGCACTACCACACCCGGCTAATTTTTTATTTATTGTAGAGACGAGGTCTTGCCAAGTTGCCTGGGCTGGTCTCGAACCTGCAGGCTCAGGCAATCCACTCACTTTGTCCTCCCAAAGTGCTGGGATTACAGACTGAGCCACCGAGCCCGACCAAATATCACTTTTTTTTTTTTTTTTTTTTTTTTTTTTTTT